GATATTCCTATTCTGCTGCTAACAAAAACATGGATGAAGGATTATATATAACTGATGATGGTTTGCTTAATTTGGTCCTTGAATTTATTCTTGATTAAAAATAAGGCTAAGCATTATTATAAACTTTTCGTGAACTTTAAATCATTTGAAAATCGTTAATTAGTTCAACTTTCAAATTCGGGATGGATTTTTTTTTCTAATTATTTTTCATTTCAAATTGCGTTTTTCTGTCAGGTTTTTATTAGTTTCAATATGAAAATTGAATTCTTTAAGATTTTTTTCCTTCAAAGTATTTTTTTTTTTTTTACTTCTAAATGTTAAAACTAAGCGGTTAAAGAAAATTTTAGAACGAAGGAAACAAGTTTTGTAGGAAAAAATAAAATATTTATAAGTTTTGCTATATATTTTCATCATCAGAATAGATGAAAATCTTAGAGAAAAATCAATTTCAAATAAAAAATAGATAGAAAGATTTTCAATCCAAAATTAGAAGGTATAAGATTGATTTTCAAATGATTTTAAATTTAGGAGAAATTCAGACTATTTAACCATATAAATATTAATGTAATATTTAGATATTCAGATCTTCATTCACATCATAATAATTATTAGAATTCAAACTCATTCTTAGGTTAAACCTAACCTCTTTGTGTGTATAGGGATGACTATTTGCCTTGTCTCGATAGAGTCTCGCTTCGCTCCGATCAACGTAGGGATTCCTTGCGTTGATCGAGGAACGAGCAAGACGAGGTGCCTCATATTTATTTTGAACGAGATTATGATGAGGGTGGTATTTGCCTGTCTTGTCCCGTTTCATTCCTAATATTATAATTATATAATATATAAAATCTATGACTACTAACTCTTAGAGTTTATGTTCTATATGAACCATGATTTTTTTTTTGTTATAGTTTGAAATTTAATAGTAGAATGAGATAAGACGAGACGAAAAAATAAAATTAAATGAGACACCAATACTTCGCGGGATGGTATTTCAAATTTTGCTCTATGCATAGCACGAGGCATGAATGGAGCAAAATTTTCAATGAAGAGATGCGGCCCCATTGCCATTCCTATGTTTGGAGAATTTGTCACTACTTATATGCTCACTAAAATGGGAATACATTATACTCCTTTTGTAAAAATGTGGGGTGATAAACAATTTTCATAATGAGTTTTTTTTTTTTTTTAAATAAAGGGAATAAAATTCTCAATTTTTTTTTTCTGGATTTGTATTAAAATCATACGGCAAGATCCTCAACTCAGCCTATGGTTTGATTTCTTGTGGACGCGTGTTTGACTAGGTAGGATTCTTTTGGGGCCATGTAACTTATTTCAATGGGATTAATGAGCTTGAAGTCCATGTAATATTGATTTTGTTTTAATAAGGTCTAACGTTTTTGAAATTTTTTAATATGGGCACTTCGTATTCACAGACAACTCAGCTGTGTTCTACACTTGCTAGAGGTATATATATATTATATATTGGATTTTTTAGGTATTCTACGTTCAAAGATCTATACTGATCAATTGTTGTTTGGTCGAACGTATAAAATAGGCATGACTATTTAAGGGGTTTTCTGTTTACATAAAAATTTAAAATCGAAACTACTTATTTAAACGATTATAGCTCTTTTCGTTTAAATTAATTTTATTGGATTTGTTGAAGGTATATTTCATTTAATCTTAAAAGTAAACATTTCTTTGAAAGTCTCATGATTGAATAGAGAATAACAATGAAAATTTGATTTAATTTTTTTTACTCAATCCAGTTAAAAAAAAGAAAAAAGAATCTCAATAAAAAAATTTGAATAATAAATTGTTCATAAATGAAAAAAAAAAACAAAAAAACAGATTTTTGAATGATTCATATACACGATTTCATAATCATGGCTCATTACAATGCCTACAATGGATTCTTTCTTTTGATAGATTTGCATGTGAATTGTAAAGTTGAATACATTTTTGGTGAATTGTGGTCTAATAAATATAAAAACTTTGGTGCTCTGGTGACACGCTGTGGTTTCGTCCAAAATGGAATTCTTGGAAAACCTTCCATCCTTTTAATTGGTGGGTTTTACGTGAGCTTTACCAACCCACGTCAGCATCATTTTGGAAAATCCTTTTTGAGAACTCAAATCCTATAATATAGCACGACTCTTGTTTTATTTCTTTCTTAGGCTGTTTTTTTTTTTTTTTCAAAAAAAGAAAAGAAAAGAAATCTGTGAAGTTTTATGCCTTTTCCAAGAATTAATTATAAATCAGTTCTCATGATTTATGAAAACAATTTAATTAACCCATATAGTATGAAAAAATAAGTTCTTTAATTAGTATTGTACATATTTGATCTAGTAATATTTTATTTAAAAAATGCATCATTTTCCTCAGAAGTCTTTCTTCACTAACTGCCTTTTGTTCTTCTTCTTATTTTTTTAAAACATGACTAGAGGAAAATAATTAAATTATAAATGAATTTAAATATACAAGGATCGAATATATAATTTTGAAACCAAGAAAAACTAATTAATCATTTTTGATAAAAAAAAATTCTAAAAACTTTGAAAATAGGACATTCAGGATATGTATTTTTTTTTTTTTTGGCGTTTCAATTAGAGATATTTTGATCAAAAAATTTATTTACGATAAAATAAATTGATTGAAATAACAAATTTAATATTTAAATATTATTCAGTAACATAATAGATATAATATGGAACATAAAATAGATTAAAAACTAAAAATATTATATAAAAGAAATTTACCTATTTATCCTTACATTGTTTGAGTTCCTTACAAAAACTTGATGTGCGAGTCTGCCGAATGAAAGGGACAAGAAAAAAAAAAATAATAAAACATGGAATTCAGTTTTATATTCTCATAATTTTGTAGCAATTCTAATGTTGCATACCCCACTAAAATATAATCTATATATAGACGACAAAGAAATTGTCTATTGATTGATGGAGAAACCAACAAGAAACGAATATATTTATGTCTTTAATTATCATAATCTATTTATTTAATTAGTTTCTTGTTTTGTTTTATAATTTAGTCTCTTTCGACTTGGACACCGTATATAGCTTGATTAGTCTTCAAATTGTCGTCTCATATATATATATATATATAGATGACATTTAATACAAATCTTCATTAATTTGGTAAATAAAAATGTGGTATCTCGAAGAAATCTCATGCCGGTTTATTTGTTTTTTTTTTTCAAAAAATAAAACAATTTTATTTTATTTTATTTTTTAAATTTCTCGTATTATTTCAATGGCAAATGGGAATTTAATTATTTTCATGAAAAATGAAAAAAAAAAGCAAGTAAGATTTGATTCTACAAACATATATAGTAGTAGTAATTACTTCATTTTATGGGTGGTATCAAGTATCAACTAATTAACATCAGTGGAGAATATTATGGGAAAAAATTGATTTTTTTGGGAAGAATTAAGATTTTCTTTCCTACAATTTATACAACAATAAAAATTAAATTATTTTTTAACCAATTTGAATAATACATTATCTAAATCGATTTGTATATTCACGAAAATATTTTTCTAAATAGTGGCTTCAAATTTTGAATTTAGAAATTTAAGAAAGAGAGCAAAACTCTTTAATAACGAGTTTACAAGCTTTTGTATGTATATGTGCGCACGTTAGTACACTTGTTTTTATTAAGGATATCGTCAAATTAATTTATGCATTAATCCAGACTAAGTCTTCAAGGATGCTTTTAAAAACGTAGTCTTCATGTGGATTTGGTACAAAATTATTTATAATAGTAATAAAAATAGTTTGATAAAACCTCATAATCAAATGAATAAAAATAAAACAATTATTACTATTACTTTCTTCCTTATCGAAGAGATTGCATTATTTTTATTTTTGTTAGTCATAAAATAATTTTTCGATCAAAACTATTTTAAGTAATGTATTTTACTACAATATCTCTAATTAAATCCAATGATAAAAAAAACTATAATTAAAAAAAAATATAAATAAAAAATAACGAAAGGACATTCGTAATATCCGAAAAAATGTAAAAGTGAAATAGTACATTTTTTTTTTGTTGGCCCAGAGACCACAAGAAAAATAGGATCTAGTTGGCTCCAATCAAACCGTGCCCGACATAAAACGTTACTGGTCAACCCACTCCGAAGCAACTGTCAACTGGTTCTGCCTCTTTAAATCCAGAAAAGAAGAGACATGCTAAGAGACATTAAGATCTTCTCTTCTTGCAATTCTCTTTCTCTCCAAACCCATTTCAGTTTCCAGTTTCAGTTTTAAACTACTCTTTCTTCTTCAGGTTAGTTTTCTTTATGCATTTCTGTTTACTTTGATGCAATTCTTAGCCATCATGCTGTAACTCATGGTTTCTTTTTATTTCTGTGTGTTCTGTCAAGACTTTATTCATGCACGTGATGTGTACATATAATTTGTATATGCACATGTACATGTACATGTACATGTGTATGTATGTATGTATTTGGGACGGATAGTGCTGTGTTCTTCTCAAAGATGTCAACCATTGATGGGGTGGACATATTAGGGAAGAGTGATTTTATTTATCCTGAATTATTCAACTCAGATTGGTTTTCTGAATAATATCAATCATTGAAGGGGTGGACTCGATTAGTGGGTCCCACATTAAACTTATTCTGGATCGGAAACATGGTATTATTACTCTATGTATGAGTGTGTTGGTAGAATAAGTTCTAAGTTCAATTTGATTAATTTTGTTTAAGAAATGAATGTTTTGAGTTTATGAAAATAATTATGAATTAAAGTAAGTCGAGCTTGAGTTGTTTCATGGTAATAAATTTGATCTCTAGCTGCTTGGTGGTCATTGTGAAGGTGAGGATTCGAGGACATTGGTTTTTTAATTTGCTAAAAAAGTAGATAGGATGAGTTGGTGGTCTTATCTTATAAAGGGAAGGGAATTATGAATTGAATTGTCTGAATTGATCTGGGCTGACTTTCTGGTTATTTCAGGAAAGATGTCTGAGAGCAAGATAATAGAGAATGGTTTTGATGAAGAACAAGAAAAATCTTCAAATTCTCCAGTGGATAAGGTATGCTATAGGCAATATATATATATTTTATGTAAATGAGGCTTTCTCTGTGCCTGGTTGGAAGGCTTGTATTGTGTTTGATAGACTTTAGCAGGTTTTTAGTTGACATCTTACTACTTGGACAATTTTCTTTCACATTCTGAAATTACAGTTCTTTGAGTTTGTTGTAATCTTTTGTCCCATCTCTGGTGGTTTTAGGAACTTTTGATGTAAACTGGAAGAGCATACTGCAATTGTCGTATCTCTTTCTTCTTCTTCCTTTTTTAACTAACACGTAGGATCCCAAGTCTGCTCCTCTCTGTATATTGCATAATGAAAATGGAGAACTTATTGAGAACAGTTAACATCACCATTGCTTCATATATTTCAAACGCAAAAGTGGGATCTGGTTTGGATTTTAATTGACGGTTCTTTCTTGGTCTCTACTTATTCATTTTGTTGCCTAGTTCTTCGATGCTTAAACCTATTCTTGTATCTGATTTATCTTTCCCTCTTGAATGTCTGGATTAAGGTTGATGCTGGGAAACCTGCACCACTGACCTGGCAGCGGAAATTAGACAGTGATGAAACTGTCCTTTCACAGTTCACTTTAAGTTTGAAAGAGATACTTCATATGGTATGTGTTCCAATTTAGAAATAAATCTGTTCTTCCTTCTTCCTACAGATCCTAACCTTCCTTATTATTATGTATATTTCAAAAGTAACCCAAACCACTGTCATGGAAAGGCCTCGGTATGGAGTGAAAGTTTTTACTAATATTTGAAATACTGTGCGTAACGTTAGCGAACGATGTGATGGTGAATTTGGGATATGTATGTGTGTGTGTGTGTGTATACTGGAAGAGAAAAGTTGTAGATATGCCAACTCTTGAAAAATTACATTGAACAGGCTATGCTTGTAGTTTCGAATCGGCACACCTGAACGATTCTCCTTTGTTCTTCTGGTGACAATGCATAATCTACTCAATTTTAAAGGAGTTTCAGAAGATGGAAGAAGGGAAAAAAAAAAAAAGAGAGGAAAATATAAAAGGAATGCAGTGGTGGACATCTCTCTGTACGACTTTATTTACCCGTTGCATTATCCCAATGCTTCATCTAGATTTTTTTAGCAGCAGAATTGCTTGTTATCTCTCTTAAGATGTTCTTCTTTGATCTATAATTTAATCTAAATTCTGTGAAGTGACAACAAACGAATGCATTGATGTGCTCCTAATTTTACTACTCAACTTTAAATGGGTTAACTCATTGAAAAAGGTGATGTAAGATGAGTCAAATGAAGCATACTTAAGAACCAAAATTACTGGGTTTAATGTAAAGAGACTGTGGTTGTATGTACCGAAGTCTGTTTATCCAACGTGAATTTCCACACTTCTGAGACTTCATAACATCCCTTGTTGTCTATCATCAATATTTTTTTTGGCCAAAAATCTTTGTCTTTGCTGTTGATGTCCATGAGATGGTTTCTTTGTTTTGGCAGGCCCCAATCGGTATTCGGCTATGGCGTCAAATCCGAGAAGAAAATGCCAAAAAAAGGGTAATAACTTTCATCATAATTGCCCATTGTACCTTGATAAGTTATTTGTGTACAGGAATCACAAATAGAAACTAATCTTGGCATTTACTTTTTGCAGAGTTTTATTATGGATCCATTTGCTAAGCGCATTGTGACATCTTGTCATGGCATTCCAGTAGGTGGTGTCGGGTAGGTGCTCATTCATAAAAAAACTTACATTTATGTTTGTTCATTGTACAGCCAGGCTAACTCAATCCATTCACTGCTTATTTTGGACATCATATTTAGTCTAGCAAGGTGGATGCGTACTTGTCATCTTTATATATTTTCAGCTACTAAGTCATATATTAACTAAAATAGAATAAATTGTTGAAATAATGATTTGCATGTATTTTATTTGCAAGTTTTGTGTAATAGGCAATATACCATAGAATATTAGGTACATTTTACTCATGATAAACTATACTGATATCGAGGTGGGCCAATAGCTGACAGGAGTTTATCAGATGTGATCTGAAAATAATGCGTTATCTGTTTAGTTGTTGGTGTAAAAGTTCATTGATCATTTAATGAGTTCCCTTCTAAGACCTGTTTTCTTTTCTTTTCTTTTCTTTTCTTAATAAAATCAACAACGTACAGCGCAGGAAGCATTGGAAGAAGTTACAAAGGTGAATTTCAGCGTTGGCAACTGTTCCCTAGAAAATGTGAAGAACAACCTGTTTTAGCAAATCAATTTTCTGTAAGTTTAACACAAATTCCTGCAAAAAAGAATGGTCAGTGCATGTATTTTAAACTTCATTTCTTCGGGAAGCTGTCTCTATTTAAAGGGAGATTATCCAAGTCAGGTGGAAGACACATAACGACTCAAAATGGATGAGGGTTTGCCTTTCTTCTCTGAGATCTGTGACACTGTTTGTAAAACAATCCTTTGCAAGAAGCCAGCATGGAGTTGTTAGTTTTCCTGTGTTTGATAATGTCTAGCAGTTCAGAACATAGCAGTCATTTTTGTGTCTCTACGTCAGACTATATATATATATATATATATGATGCTTCTATTTTTATGTTATCGGACTAAAACATATAAAACTTTACTTCTTACCTGTTTGTGACTTACTCTGATTAATTGCACAAGCTGTTCCATTGCCTTCTCTCTATCTGCTTCTTATGTCTAGAAGTACCAATTTTACTGAAGGTATTTGAGATAGGATAACATGTGTCTTCTCTATCTTTGAACTTTTTTAGACAATTGCTTAATATTGACTTTGGATATCTTTCCTTTCTATTTCTTACATTCAACAAATTTATGATCTTCTCACTCAGACTATGGCATTTTTTGCTAGAGGCAATTAAAAAAATAAAATTTCACTTATTTCTGTCTGCTACTCCATCATCCTCTGGTTGATACTGCCCCTACCAAAGGCAAGCCGTTGATGATTTTTGTTGAATTTAGACAAAAGATATGAATGAGAAATGAAGATGCTATAAATTAATATTCACTCGGCAAGCAATATTTGGAATTTGTGAATCGTTTTTCCATTTGCAAAGTGATGTGTAGTTTCTTAATTTGAATGCTATTGCATGCAGATTTTTGTTTCGCGCTCAAATGGTAAAAAGTACTCTAGTGTACTATGCCCAAGGAGTCCAGACGTGCTTGAGTAAGTGATTGCATTATTGTCTTATTAGTTTACAATTAATACATGAATGTTGTTTCTTATTCGGCTTGAAAATCAGTTATGAATGACTTTGACTTTGATAGAAATATAGACAAAGAAATGAAAAACAGTCAACTATAAACTTACCGAATGTCGTTTACATAGAGAATCTGCAGGTTCAGGGATTGAATCTTGGGACTGGAATCTGAAGGGAAATAATTCCACATATCATGCTTTATACCCCAGGGCTTGGACTGTATATGAGGGTAACCTACATTTTCAAGTGATGTTCATCTTAAATTATCACGACCACCATTATGAATATATTTATTATCATGACCTACTGTTATGGATTTATTATCTTATCTGGACGCCCTTCTCTTTAAGCGCAGGCGAACCTGATCCAGAACTTAGGGTTGTTTGTCGTCAAATTTCACCTTTTATTCCTCATAATTACAAGGAGAGCAGCTTCCCTGTCTCAGTTTTTACCTTCACGGTAGGAATGGGTCTCTTAGAAGTTTGATTCTTATACCTTAAGTATAGTCTCCCCTGTTACTAAGAGTGAAATATTTTTTTCAGCTCTATAATTCTGGGAAGACTACTGCTGAAGTCTCCTTGCTTTTCACGTGGGCAGTAAGTTCTTTCATTTTTTTTAATCTTTCCACTGATATTTTGTTGTTGTTTCTGCTGGTTTGTCACTCATTTCATTGTTTATTTCTTATTCAAATGATTGCTAAATATATTTCTCAAGATCCTTTAAAATAGTCTGTCAATTGAGAAGCCACCAAAACTCTTGCAACTTAAATGTTTGTGCCTATTCAGAATTCTGTTGGAGGGGTTTCTGAATTTTCTGGTCAGCACATCAATTCAACAAAACTGTAAGACGTTGTGTGTTCTTTTTTTTTATATTGTTCTAATTTCCAATATTACTTGTTAATATAAGACCGTCTTTTTTGCGTCTATGTTTATAAAGCATGTGGATTGCATGTAATGGTTGCAATTAATGCTAATCGACAAGATTATTGATTTTCTAGGATGGAGGATGGTGTGCATTGTGTACTTCTAAATCACAAGTAAGTTCCTTTCCTTGGAAAGGTATTTATTTCTGGATTTGGTGAGATTAGTTTGTAGCTCATGGCATGTGTCAAAGTTTTCTTATAATGAACTCCTCTTGTTTACTAATACAGGACAGCAAATGGGCTTCCCCCAGTAACTTTTGCAATCGCTACACAAGAGACTCCTGGTGTCCATGTCTCAAAATGTCCTTGCTTTGTCATATCTGGAAATTCGCAAGGTGTTACAGCAAAAGAAATGTGGAATGACGTAAAACAGGTTGACAGACCTATTCTCATACTTAGTTCATTTTGTGTAAATGTTCTCAAATGCTTCACTCTGCATCTTCCGTTAACAATACCTACTTAAAATTCCACTGATTTTTGAACTTGATATGTGGGTATAGGGATTCAGGAAAATTACAGCATTATGCTATAAAAAATATGGATTTTGTCTATTCATATTTGCATCTACTGGTTGTTTATCAGGCTTTCTGTTACCACTTATGGTTTTCTCCTGATTTTCATTTTCCACCCCAATATATACCAAAGGCTCTGGAAGATATCCTTCTTTTCAAAAGAAAAAAAAAAGGAAAAAACACAATTCCATATTTTAACTATAGTGGTGCATATGATGATCCACATGGAATAACCCTGAGGGTGATCATTGTTATTGGTTTTGCCATCATTTTCTTACCGAACTTGATGTACTTATTTGTATTTTAATAGCACGGATTCTTCGACAGCCTCAGCTCAGCTGGAAAGCCAGTGCCGTCAGAGCCAGGATCATCTATTGGGGCAGCCATTGCAGCCACTTCTACTGTTCCACCAGATTCTGTACGTACAGTTACCTTTTCATTGGCATGGGACTGTCCTGAAGTAAACTTTGCGAGTGGAAGGACTTATCACAGGTAGGTTGCCAAATGCCAAATGCTTTGTCCGAAGTGGACCACAAATTGAAAGATTATCTGTATGCTAAAAATGTCCATCAACAGGCGTTACACAAAATTCTATGGTACTCTTGGAGATGCTGCTGCAAATATTGCACATGATGCTATTCTAGGTAAAGTCCTATTCTGTCCTCTTTGATGATAATACATCGCTATAAAAAAGTGTAATCATGGACCAGAAATTTTTTAAAGCTGGAATGCGAATAAGAAGTATGGATACTGATTTTACATTTGGCAGCCATAATCCTGCATTGACAAGATAATAGATTCATTTGAATTCCTTATCATATGTTCCTTGAAATATAGGGCATGGCCTTTGGGAATCCCAGATAGAAGCCTGGCAAAAACCAATTCTTGAAGACAAGAGACTTCCTGAATGGTGAGCTTCAGTGCTTAGTTTTCTCATTTCATATAAACCCAGATTCTGAAGTTATTTGGAAGCTTCCTTGCAGGTATCCTGGCACTCTCTTTAATGAGCTCTATTATCTTAATTCAGGGGGGACAATCTGGACAGGTATGTGGATGATGAAGCCTCTTCTCTTGTAGTTCAACTAATGTTTATGAATGTTTAAGTTTTCTATATTATGAATTTTCAATTTATTGCCTGGGTAACGTTTTATTTACTATTTCAGATGGATCGCCTCCATTGCATAGTTTGGTAAGTATTGGAGGAAAAAAGTTCTCTCTCGATAGGTCGGCTTCCAATTTAGGCCATCAAGGCGATACTGCTGTTGACATTCTTGGAAGGATGACTTCTGTACTTGAGCAAATCCACACTCCTTTAGCAACCAATTCTGCTTTTGGAACTAATTTGCTTCAAGGAGGAGAAGAAAATGTGGGCCAATTCCTTTATCTGGAAGGGGTCGAGTATCAAATGTGGAACACCTATGATGTTCACTTCTATGCATCTTTCGCATTAATTATGCTATTTCCCAAACTCCAGCTCAGCATTCAAAGGGACTTTGCAGCGGCAGTTATGATGCATGATCCCAGTAAGATGCACCTTCTACAAGATGGACAGTGTGTCCCCAGAAAGGTTCTTGGAGCCATCCCTCATGACATTGGGATTTATGACCCCTGGTTTGAAGTAAATGCCTATAACCTTCACAATACTGATCGCTGGAAAGACTTGAATCCAAAATTTGTTCTCCAGGCTTACAGGGATGTAGTTGCCACTGGAGACAAGAAGTTTGCAGAAGCTGTTTGGCCATCAGTTTATGTTGCGATGGCTTATATGGATCAGTTTGATAAGGATGGCGATGGAATGATTGAGAATGATGGCTTTCCTGATCAGACATATGATACATGGTCTTTGTCTGGGGTGAGCGCGTATTGTGGTGGCCTATGGGTGGCAGCCTTACAGGCTGCATCAGCCCTGGCATGGGAAGTAGGAGACAAGGATTCTGCAGAATACTTTTGGTTTAGGTTTCGGAAGGCAAAGATTGTGTATGAGAAGTTATGGAATGGTTCTTACTTCAATTATGACAACAGCGGTGGTATCAATAGCTTATCTATTCAAGCCGATCAATTGGCCGGACAATGGTATGTTGTAATTATGCCTTTTTTAATCTTTTTGAATATCAAGTTCCTTCAGATCATTTAGCCATCAAAATCTAGATTTGCTCGGTTAAACTTTCCGAAATATATCACTTGCTTCTGAAAGCAGCAGAAATATCTCTGTGTATTTTGGTTATGGTTATGGATTCATTAGCTACTAAATGGTTGTGTTGGTAGGTATGCACGAGCATGCGGACTTGCGCCGATTGTTGACGAGGACAAAGCACGAAGTGCGTTAGAGAAGGTCTATAACTACAACGTCCTGAAGGTGCAGGATGGGAAACGAGGGGCTGTAAATGGGATGCTGCCTGATGGAACAGTCGACACGTCATGTATGCAGTCGAGAGAAATATGGTCTGGGGTCACATATGCAGTTGCTGCAACGATGATCCAGGAAGATTTGATGGACATGGCGTTTCATACGGCAAGTGGAATCCATGAGGCTGTGTGGGCTGAACAAGGACTTGGGTAGGAAACCTTTTATCTCTTCCTTATTTTCATGCCTTCATTTTTTCATCTGATAACATTCCCAGAAGCAGGAAGCCATGAACTATGGAATGCTGAGTGACAGGTTGGTGCTGTGTTAATTACAGGTATTCTTTTCAAACTCCAGAAGGTTGGAACACCATTGACCAGTACAGATCTCTATGCTACATGCGGCCTCTGGCCATTTGGGCAATGCAGTGGGCTTTAGCCAGGCCAAAACTTCACAAGCAGGAAATGAAATTACAAGTGGAGGAGGATTCTCTTCCTGTGCACCATGCTGGATTCGCCAAAGTTGCTCGTTTTCTCAGGTTGCCAGAAGAGGAATCCTCTAAAAGTTATTTGCAGTCCTTGTTTGACTACGCTAGCAAGAAGTTTGGTTATCCTTAGATTTTATTTTTTTCAAAAAAATAATTGACATACGAGTATATACTACCTAGTGGTGTATTCATTGAATTTCAAATACAGTAAGCATACGTGCTGTGTATATATGCATGCAGATACTTTGATTTCTATATATGTATATACACGTGGATTATTATTATTATATCATGCATAAGAAAAAAAAACGAAATTATGCCAATTAACACATGATATAGAGATAAAAATCACGTGAAATATTTGTTGACCTAATGATTTCTGGTTAGACACAAGATTATCATAACTGCTGATCTGAGACACACATGAAGGAAAGATTACAAAAAAGTTACTGCATCCTAGAAAAAACAATTTACTACTACTTCTGTTATAAAGAAATTATAATAGTTTTAAAAAGTTATTAATTACTATATTATATTGGTATTTTTTATTCATATTTTTTAAGATATTGTTTTTGTTAAAATTATTAGTTATCAAATATAAAACTAAAATCAATATGAATTTAAGAAGAAAAAACCCTTCTAAAATTAAGATGGTAAATAAAAAATCATTAAATTAATTAATAATTAAATTTAAAATAATTATGAAAAAATAATATATCAATGAAAATATTTTATTTTTAAAATTTTGACATACTAAAAAATAATTCTTTTTTCAATTACAAATATTTAATAAAATATTATTTAAAATTTCGACCATATAAATATTTTAAAACAAATATAAATAAATAAAAAACAATGTCATTAAGACAGAAATAATAGTATTTTTAGTATTTATTGTGACATGATTAATTAAGATATATACATTGACAAAATGATATCCACTATATTAAAACAAAAAAGTACCCAAGAACACAATTTATTTATTTATTTTTTGTAACTCAACATGACAACATCGTCATAAAAAGAAAAAGGAAAACACATCAAAACAAAATTTCCACTCGAAAATACAAAGATAATACTAATAGATCACATTTCTACATTCTATGTTATTATTATTTTTTTTTAATTTCATTTACTTCCCAAAGAGCCCATCTTGAAGCCTCTCGCAGTCAACCAAATAAGCAAACCCATAAGCCAAGTTCTTCAATGTGGCCTCATGCAGCTCCAAATCCGACGTGGCAGTCGCATCCGTGGAAAAAAACACTCTAAACCCACTCACAAACGCCGCACGCGCCGTCGTTTCACAGCACAAGTTAGTCATAACACCCGCCACAATAACCTCCTTCACACCCATCTCCACCAGCCGCTCCTTAAGGCCCGTGTTCTCAAACGCGCTATAAGTGTTTTTCTCCACCACCTCGTTTTGCCCCACAAGACGTCGAATCTCGGGCATCAGCTCTGACTCCACGGTGCCATCAATAATAAGGTCGTTGTCCCACCACTCAGCAAGCATGCCATGATCGGAGGGAGACTTGTGCCGGTGGCGCGTGAAGAGAACGGGGATGGAGGATCGTCTGCAGAGGTCTATGGTAGTGAGAAGGCGAGGGAGGATGGGTTGGACCATGGAGGAGAAGTAGTTTTGGACATCGATGACTAAAAGAAGAGATGTTTTGGGGTCTGGTTTTCGGTTTCTGGTCTCGTATTTCTTGTATGATGGGCAATTGATCGAGGCAGCCATCGAAGAAGAAGGGATTTTCTTGATTTCTTGAATGATTTGAAGGTTTATATAATTGTATGCACACGTATGGAGGGAAGGAGGACAGTCTGCAAGGTTTTTCTCGGGTTTTCTTTAGTTTATTATTTTTATTGGATAATTGATTGAGAAGTTAATAAATATATTAGAAAATTCGGTATTTTCATAAAAATATGAAATAGTGTGTGTGTATATATATATATAGTTTATTATTTTATGTTTTACAATTATTGAATAATTAATTGAAAAATTGTTAGATATAATAAGAGTTGTATTTTGTTTTTACGTAAAAAATATGAAATGTAAGGGTTTTTTTATAGTTTATATTTTTATATTTTGCTACCATTAAATAATTGATTGAGAAATTATTAAATATACTAAGAATTGAATTTTTTTATTTATAAAAAATATGGTATTCATCATAAAAATATTCATGATTTATTTTTAGTTTTTTAGTTTTACCCAAGCCATGTATTATATTTTTACGTAAGAAGAGGAGTATAGTTTTATTATAATAAATAATTAGTAGTTAATTTTTTACAATTTCACTTTATCAGTGTGGCCTTTCTTTGGGTTACATATAAATAAGTGGGGCCACTTTACATATAAATTATTAGCAAGCAAACAACACATTCATTAAATAACTTCAGCATAGAAGCAGACAACCAAGTTGTTTCTGTAAGAACTGGTGCTCACCTCATGCATACGATTACAACAAGCTGCATGCAAACTTGTTCTTGTAGAACAACAATTTGATGCCTTCTTATTTAGGATAGCTATATATATATATATATATGATCAAGGCACTGGAAGCCACTTCTGGCTAAGGTTTCCAGTGGGTTGAGAAATGACGATTTCTTTAAGGCTTGGGTCGGAAAGCCTCACATCCATCGCGAGTCCACTGAACAAATTCAACATTGTGCCATCATTTTTAAACATCCAACGTTGTTGAGAAGAACCAGAACAAGGGAGGATGAGGACAATGGTTCCTGGTTGATTATTGCTATTGCAGCTGATGCACATGTTCTGATCTTGTTGAGGTCGTATAGAACCATCTGCATAGAGAGCCCATTTTTGTTCTATCCGGCCACTACGGCATTCTGCTAACCAAAGGGACGTTCTATCTCCCTGTACTAAGCATAAATCATCAAACCCAAAAATGGAGGTGACGAAAGGCGTTGTGTTATTCCTGGCCAGCCAGCCCTGACTAGAGGCGTAGTTGTTGGTGGCCATAATGAGGTTGGAGCCAGCATTCCCTGAAGATGTGCTCAAGGCTAGTTTTGAACTAGGATCTATGATAGATCCGTCATCGCGCACTTACCAGAGGACATTTGCGCCCATTGTCACAGCCTTATTGCAATCGTAGATCATCACGGAGCTTAGTCTATTGTCCTTGGTCAAGCACTTGCCATTAGATTGAATTTTCCTATCTTTTTTCAGGGTCCACAGTTGATTCAATTCTGGAGTAGATTTACACTGTTGCAATTGTATCGGATTTCCATCAGCATATACTCCATCTTTTACATCAGCACACAGACCATTTCTACCAGTGATGCGAATCGTGGGCTCTGGAACAGAACAAACATTGTTACTGTAATATTTGACATCCATAGACCTATTAAATCGAGATGCTTGGGGGTTGCAGACGAATAATAGGAGTCCCAGGTTACTGATTAAGCTATCAGTTACACTGTCCACGTTGAAAGATGTACCGTCAGGTTTTCGTAATTGAACTGGTCTCCCGAAGACTCCTTGATTGGATTGTTGGATTGCAGTGGAGAGAGCTCCCCAATTGTTTTCTAAGCTCAGCGTGGCATCATCTGGCAGAAAGGTACTTGTGGCTTTGATGCTGCGACGCACGGAATTCTCAATATATCTGAATCGTGCTGCTTCCGCAACCATCTGAATGGCAACCAAAAGGGAACGAGCGACGGTGTTTTCTGTAGTACCAGGGCCGCTTCTCCAATAATAGAGGTTCGTGATGGCTTGATCGAGATCTGACATTCCTAGGGGTATGTCCTTTCGACCTGCTCCTGCAATTCTTTGAAGATCCATATAGTTACCGGTGAACGAAAGGTAGTCACGTTTTGTCTCAGTGAAAAGTTTAGAAAATGCAGGCCCTTTAGAGTCACTGAAGAAGTAGGACTGATCACTTGCCCGATAAGCCACCACATATGCATTGGTGACATTTATTGCTAGCGTGAACCTTATTTCCACTTGCCAGATGGCCTCGTAGATCTTGCAGAAACTCCGAGTAACTTTTTCTGGTGGCATCTGCAGTGGTAAAACTCACCACCGTATAGGTCAGTCCTATACCGAATCTACGTTCTCTGGATACTAGGCACAAATCGGAATTCCATGCAGCTCCGACCATGGCACTCCAAATCCATGTTGCTGCGATAACCAACACCTTCATCTTCACCTCCATTAGCAACTGCAGAGAAAAATATTTTACAGTTTTCGCCCATCAGAATATGTCAAGACACACAAATTTACGTACTTAGCTTACTAATCGATTAACAGAACCAGAAAAAAAAATACAAAATACAAAATAAAATATAACATTAAACCAAAGCACAAACATGCTGAATTAGGAAAATTTAGCTAATTATTATCAAGCTGTGGATCATATTAAAACATTAATTAATGAGAAACCTATAAAAGTTGCCAAAATGCGGAAAAACATACTAGTTTATAAAACCCCTCAAGCTTTCAAGATGATATATAGCAACAAAGATGAACGTGTGGAGGCTTATGAGCACGAGAAAAAGGAAGAAGACTAGATACAGCTCTCTTATTGTTGCATATCCTTGCTATTTATAAGGGTCGCATGATTATTAAAAAAAAAAAAACCTTGAATTCAACATATTATTGATAATGGTAGGTAGAAAAGTTCAAGGAAATTTAAGTGCGTACGCATACTGGAAAATGTCGTTTTGTCGGATATATAACGTGACGATGTTGATAGGTCCCTAAATTTCTTTTCTACGCGACTACACATGCATTAAATGGGGGTACGTATGTTTCTTTTTTCCCTCCACATTCACTATCAGATTAAGTTGTATGTCATCAATTCAATTTTTGTTTTTTATGAGTAATTCGAAGAATTTAATAATTTTTTTAAATGTTGATTTTAACCATAAGTTTGAACTCGGAAAATTAACGAAGAAAACAATCTTTTTTAATCATCACGCCAATTTATTGAAATTACTAATTTTCTTTTTAATAATCAAGATATGCACAAACCGGTTGAATAAAGTTCATTTTATTTTAGTACATTAGTACAAGTTGTATAAAAAAACTGAATTTAATTCTACATCCGAATTTCAATTATAATATAACTCTAAGAATAAAGTTCATTTTATTTAATATGGTCGGTTTGAATAGAAGTGAACAGAACATGACTAGAAGTTTAAAAATTAATTATACAACTACATTTTTTATTGCCACAATTGTCTTTGATTAAAAGCATATATTTATTTTTTTGCAAAATGTTCCAAACATTCTTTATTTTAAGTGATATGGGAGTCAATATTTTAACTTTTAATTTCAAATTTTATCTTTTTCTAATCATTTTTATTTAAAATTAGAGTTTTTGTTTTTAGTTTTTACTAGTTTGATACCCGTGTTATATTGCGATCGGACAACCGTTACATACGTAGGATTAACAATTCGTATGGTGTAGTGAAAATAGAATTTTTATTTCTGATAATTAATATAAATCGAATATATATATTGAGTGAAATCGTTTGATTTATATATATTTATTAAAAAAATATTTAATAATATTAGCATAAAATTTTGTATTTGAATAATTGGGAGGTTCTTTCAAAACATTATGTAGCTTATTTTATTCAATTGTTTTTAGAATATGAAAAAATAAATAACAAATAATTGGTAATAAGTGTGTTGATATATAGTTAATTTTTAATAAAAATAATGATATATATATATCATACTTAACGATTCAGAATATATAGAATAAATAGAAAAATATACAAAAAAAAAACCACCTAAATTGTATGAAATATATTGAAGTCAATATATTAAAATAAAAACTACAAAAAAATGAATCGATAAATTCTGAATAAATATATATAAAAAAACAAATAAAACTTGTGATTTTTTTTTAAATTAAGTCAAACTATTTAAAACATACTTTTAGCTCTCTCTCTCTCTCTCTCTCTCTCTCTCTCTCTCTCTCTATATATATATATATATATATATATATATCGAATTTATAAATTATAATAATATATTTAAAAAAATAAAACACAAACATTCTAAAATTTTATTCTAAAATTCATATACTAAAAAACCAAATTTATTAACAAATAAAATTATATCAAATAATTAAAAAATTAATTTGATGAGAATTTTAATAAGAAACAAATGATTGAAAAAATGAATTTTAAACAATAAGAGTAATATAATCATATATATATGTTCAAAATAAAATTTTAAAAAATATCATATTTATTCTATCACCATCAAACTGTACTTAAAACTAAAAAAAAAATTATTTTTTATATTTTTTACACCTAATTCCATGATAAAAATAAATAAATTAATTAAAAGAAAAAAAAATGTCAGGCTCACGCCTTGTACTGCAGATCTCTATCTATGTTAATATCTATAACTTAGCATAGTTTTTGCATATCTTGAGACTAAGTTTTTTTTCTAGACATGATTAAGGGACACTGGTCCCCAACACATGGTTTTGGTTATAATCTTTTTCTTTCTTTAGTTTTTAAAATATATTTAATGTATATCTAAACTATGTAATTTAACCGGATGGTTTCCCTTATTAATCTAATCTCGATTTTATCAGCCAAAAAAAAAAAAAAAGTCTTAACTTTTATCACCTAAGAAAACATAATCTAGCATATCAATTCAATACAATTTTCACATATCTCGAAACTAATTTTTTTCTAGACATGGTTAAAGGGCACTGATCCCTAAAACACGGCTTGAGTTGTAATCTTTTTCTTCTGTTAGTTTTTTAAAATATATCTAATGTATATATCAACTATGTAATTTAACTATATTGTTTCTCTTATTAATCTAACCTCGATGTTATCAGCAATAAAAAAAAAATAGTCAAATTTTTACCACCCAAGAAAACATAATCTAGCATATTATAAAATAAAGAGCTACAAGATTGTTTTGATTTACTTTTTTTTTTTTTTTTTTATGAATACAATTTAGTACGAAGAAAGCTCTCATTAAAGATTGTTTCATGTTTCACACTTCTGGCCAGAAATCTCTCTCTCCCTCTCTCTTCCTTTTCTGGCTTTTAGAGAATGATAACGATGGAATGATAGATTATAAAAAAAATGGTCCCACTAGTTGGCATGTGTGGCCAGGACAGGCCAACGCGCTCAGGCTTGCGTAGGGCTGCTCAGGATCACGCTTGGGCTGTTTGGGCCTGTTTCTCTAGGCCTTAGCCGCTGTTTAACAGAAAAAAGAAAAGACCAACAACTTCGTACTAACGCTACCTTGTCGGAATCTTCATCGAAAAACACCATCAAGTCTCAGACCCCAAAAAACTTAATTCTCACGTTATTATTATTTTTTTTCAAACACCTCTAAATAATCAATATAAAATAAAAAAATATTTTTAAAACCTTAAAAATCATTTTAATGCACATTAGAATAAAACAAAAAAAATACATAATTAAATCATATATATATATATATATATATTGCTCCAATATACCTCCTTCAATTATTTGATGGCTTGAAACCATCATAAATAAACTTATCTCTCGAAGCTAAAAAAAATATAATGGAGTTTGGCTGACGAAAGTGGCCTAAATAAGCTTGGCTAACGCTCTCTCTCTTACTATCTCTCTCTTCTTTCCTCCCTTCTCTTCACACCGGGGATCAAAATGTATTAGTAAATAAAAATATAAATTTAAATAAAATTTTTAAAAATATCAAGGATAAAAAACAAACTAATTATAATCTATAATAAATGAACAGTCCCAAGATCTTTTAGTTTTCTTTATAATAATAATCAATTTTAAAGTGCAAGTACAATTCCTAATAAAGTAATAACATAACAAAATTTATGGATGTCTTGTTTTGTTTTTTTCTCAAAACTTGTTTCTTCTGTCTTCTTTTAATTGCTGACTTCTTAACATTTAAAAGAAAAGAAGTAAGTTTTAGAGGAAAAAGAAAAGGCTAAAAGGTTCAAACTTCCCTGAGCTATAAATCAATTACAAATCGATCCTTCAACTTTCAATTTTGAATTGTAACTTCCTCTAACAAAGCATGTATAAGTTTCAATATATTTTTAACTATTGAGAAATTGCACTTCTACTATTAGAAGTTATGAAAACTTAATTGATTGATCCAATTTCAAATAAAAAAAATAGTTGAATGAAGGTTTAATTTGATATTAGAAGTTGAGAAACTAATTCTCAAGTGACTTAAAGTTCAAAAGAAGTTTGAACTATTTAACCAAAAACAAATCATCCACAGTTTTTGGCATATTTTTATCTATTGAAAAAGTTAAAAGTTAAGTACTTACAAATCACGCATACATGAACTGTTATAATTAATCAAAACCTAATAAAATGATCCAATTTCAAATAAAAATAGTTGTAAGAAGATCCAATTTAAAATTAGAAGTTAATAGACTAATTTTCAAATTGCTTAAAGTTTAGGAAATGCTTCTACCATTTAGCCTTGATTTTTTTGTACTAATCTTGATGTTTGGTAAAATGCTTGTCGTTTATTTCAAGCACATTGCTATAATTGACATACTCATCATATATTTTTTTAAAATAGATATTTGGTACAAGAAGGAGAAAGCTTAGAAAATTAGAACAAACACATGATTGCATAAAATGCAACGAATTGCCCCCTTTTTAGGTTAGAGCTATTTCTCATGGTGCTTAAGGGGTGAAAGTTTTGGATATAGAATCTAACAAATATTGGTTTAGCCAAAAAAAAAAAAAAAAAAACAAACAAACAAACTTAAATAATCTGTTTCATTTTTTATTTTTTATTTTTGAATTTATTAGGAAGAATCCATTTTTCTCAAAGTATATATGACATATCGTAACAATTTTTTGGCAATAGAAAGATTTATCATAAAAGGCACATTTAGTGATTTTTCCAATTATTTTTCCAATTTACAATCATCAAGTCACACGTATATGTATAGTATAAATACAGGTGAAGATATTGAAATTTACACCGGAGTGTTTTAGTGACGAAAGTTAAACTTTTTAGGAATATTTTGAAAAAATTAGACACATATATTGTATAATATTACATTTCATGTAAAAAAATATTTTGAATAATTAAAATTTATTTTTAGTCGATTTTTATTTTCTAACTCTTAATTTATGTTCTATATTTTCTCTTTAATACTTTCATTTTTAATTTTCCAATGATTTTTATTCTTATTTTTATTCTCTTGTTAATATATATTTCATAATTGTATAGTAATAAACTTTTTGTGCATAATTTCATTATCTGAAAAATAAAAATAAGAAAAAAAAATTAAACTAGAAAATGTTAAAAAAAAAGGAAGAAAAATAACTAAACTACAAACACCTAGTTATTCTAAAAATAAAATAAAATCGTATTTGTTCTTATTTTCTAGTAAAGCCAAATTATCTCAAACACAAGGTTAACAATAAAAAGCTAAATTTCTCATTCATAATTTTATTGATAAAATTTTTCGTTAGTGCTTTTAAGTCCTCATCACATTTCTCCGATGTGCCTAGTAGCCTCCTCCTCTTCTTCGCCACCGCCAATTCACCGGTTGTCATTGGTGGAATGTCACTCAACCCCATTAGTCTTGCAACCAGGGCTGGTGGAGCCCGGAAACTTTCAGGGGAGTTTAAGGATTTTGAACGCCTTATTTCGGCCGGCAATGTTGGACTTCTTGGTAACATATCATAGGAGAATCTTGGGAGATCTTTGGTTTCTTGAAGTAATGAATTGGAAGAAGATGATGATGAAGAAGAAGAAGGTTGTAATGGTGGTGTGCTGGTTTTCGTTTTTTGGTTGGAGAAGAAACCACATCTTTTTCCTGCTTTTTCCTTGAAAAAATATATATTGTACGTAATTAGCACTAATTCTATCTTCAACCTCCAAATAACAGCTTAAATTTTTAAATTAAATAATTCGTCCTAATCAAAGAGAAAATAGGGAAAAAATTTACGAAAAGTGAGGAATCTACGGCGATTGTGGTATTTGTAAACGAATTGGAAAATGCCGGGCATACATCTAATACTCTTCGCTCGAATCTTTTCTGGTGCCGGAGAGCTTTCTCAGCGGAAAGATGATGAGAGGAAGGGATCTTGTCTCTTCACATTTCTCTAAACCTCCCGAATAAAATTTTGATTAAAAAATTAAAAAATTAAATAAATTTTTATTTAGTTCTGATTTGATATATTTTATCAAATACATAATATAATATAAAATATTAAAATAAAATAATTTTATATATTTTGTTTGATCCACAATATGACGTTGGTAATACCAAACTAATTAGAACTAAAACATGATTGCATACAAATTCAAAGAATTGCCTTTTTTCAGGTTAGAGCTATTTCTCATGGTGCATAAGATGTGAAAGCTTGGATATAACAAATATTGGTTTAGCCAAAAAAAAAAACCAAATTTAAATAACTTGTCACTTTTTTTTTTTTTAATTTATTAGGAAGAATTCATGTTTTCTCAAAATATATATGATATATTGTAACAATTTTTCGGCAATAGAGAGATTTATTACAGAGGCACATTTAGTGATTTTTCCAATTATTTTACAATTTACAATCATCAAATCATGCGTATATGTATAGTATAAATACATGTGTATATATTGTAATTTACACATGAGTGTTTTAGTGATGAAGTTAAACTTTTTAGGGATATTTTGAAAAAAATTAGATACATATATTGTATAATATCAAATTTCATGTGAAAAAAAATATTTTGAATAATTAAAATTTAATTTTACTTTATTTTTATTTACCATCTCTTATTTTATGCTCTACATTTTCCAAGAAACTAATAAATCTAAAATGCACTAGTCTCAAAGAAATTAAGAACATTTTTTCCAAGAAAGTCTGTTACTCATGAAATTTTCAGGCCCAAAAGCTCGTTACCAGTTTTTTTAGCTCAAGTTTATTTATTTAGTTTTTGTGAGGTTTATGCATGATAATCCAATAGAGATCGATGAAATTATGATCTAAAAATTAATTTAAATGACAAGATGTTAAGTAAAATAAACTTATAGACGACAGATAGCACGTCGTAATTTTATAAATTAAGGATGCAAAGTATTATACGAGCACTATGGTAGAGGATGCTTGGAGTAATTAACCTTGTTATTCATTTTATAAGGAAATATATTTTTAAAGAAAATCATATGTCTGGAAGTTAAAGTTTTATTTGTAGCTAAATCAAAGCAGAGAAAGGCGTGATGTTGTATAGAAAAACAAAGGTATATGCATAGGTGTGATCTGGGTTCAAATTTATGTATCAAAAGGCAATGGAAGCCACTTCTGGTTGAGGTTTCCAGTGGATGGCCAAATGATGATTTCTTCAAGGTTTGGGTCGGAACGCTTCACATCCATCACGAGTCCATTGAACAAATTCAAAATTGTGCCATCATTTTTAAACATCCAACGTTGTTGAGAAGAACCAGTACAATAGAAGATGAAGACGATGCTTCCTTGTTGATTATAGGTATTGCAGCTGATGCACATGTTCTGATCTTGTTGAGGTCGTATAGAGCCATCTGCATAGAGAGCCCATTGTTGTTCTATCCGATCACTATCGCATTCTGCTAACCAAACTAACCAAAGGGCCTTTCTATTTCCCTGTACTAAGCATAAATCCTTAAACCCAACAATGAAGGTGACGAAAGGCGTTCTGTTGTTGCTGGCCAGCCAGCCCTGACTGGAGGCGTACTTGTTGGTCGCCATAGTGAGATTGGAGCCAGTATTCCCTGAATACGTGCTCAAGGCTAGTTTTGAACGAGGATCTATGATAGATCCGTCTTCGTGCACTTCCCAGAGGACATTAGCATCCATTTCCACAGCCTTATCGCAATCTTAGATCATCACATAGCTTGGAAATCGACAATAGTCCACGGTCAAGCACTTGCCGTCAGATTGAATTGTCCTGTCTTTTTTCAGAGTCCACAGTTGATTCAATTCTGCTGTAGATTTACACTGCCACAATTGTATCGGATTTCCATCATCATATGCTCCATATTTTACATCGGCACATAGACCATTTCTACCACTGATGCGAATCGTGGGCTCTGTCTCAGGACAAATATTGTTGTCGTAATCAGCATCAATAGAACTTCTAAATCGAGATGATCGGGCGTTTCTGCGTGCGAATACTAGGATTCCTAGGTTGCTAATTAAGCTTCTAGTTACGCTGTCCACGTTGAAAAATGTACCGTCAGGTCTTCGTAATTGAACTGTTGTATTATTGAAGACTCCATGATTGGATTGTTGGATTGCAGAGGAGAGAGCTCCCCAATTGTTTTCTAAGCTCAGCATGGCCTGGTTTGGCAGAGAGGTACTTCTGTCTACAATGCTGCGACCCACGGATTGCTCAATATATCTGAATCGTGCTGCTTCAGGAATCATCTGAATGAAAACCAAAAAGGAACGAGCAAGGGTGTCTTCTGTATTTATTCTGCTCCTCCAATAATAGAAGGTCGTGATGGCTTCATCGAAAGCTGACATTCCTAGGTCTATTGCCATTCGATGTACCCCTCGTCTTTCAAGATTTATATAGTTACTATCGAATGAAAAGTTGTGACGTTCTGTGCCAGGGAAAAGATTAGAAGATGCTGGCCGAGGAGCATCATGGAAGAAGTAGGACCGATCACTTGCCCGATAAGCAACCAGATATGCATTGGTGACATCCATTGCTAGTGTGATCGATAACCCTTGCCAATTTGAGAGCTCCACCAAAAGAAATCGCTCAGGATCAGGAACTGTAGATCGGTTACGCATCACTGGTATTTCATGACTCAAATTTCCACTTGTCAGATGGCCTCGTATAGCTTGCAGAAACTCCGAGTAACTTTCCCTGGTGGCACCTACAGTGGTAAAATTCACCACCGTATAGCGCAGTGCTCTACCGAATCCATCTTGTCTCGATACTGGGCACGTATTGGGATTCCCAGCTGCTCCGACCATGGCACTCCAAACCCATGTTGCTGCGATAACCAACACCTTCATATTCACCTCCATTAGCAACTGCAAAGAAAAATATTTTACAGTTTTCACCCATCAAAACATGTGAAGATACTCAAATATACTTAGCTTATTAATCTATTCCCAGAACTAGAAAATATCAGAAAATCTAGCAAATTATTATCAAGCTAATGATCAAGGTGAAAACATATTAAAACATTAATTAATTGAGAAACCTATAAAGGTTGCCAAAATGTGGAGAAAAACATACCAGTTATAACTTATAACCTGGTAATTGTTAGAACCCCTCAAGCTTTCAAGAGATGATGTATAGCAACAAGGATGAACTTGTGTGGGTTTATGAACACGAGAAAAAGGGTACAGGACTAGAAATAGCTCTTAGCGTTGCAAATCCTTGCTTTTTAAAAGGGTCACATGATGAATGGAAGAAGAAAAAAATCCTTGAATCCAACATATTATTAATGGTGGGCAGAAAAATTCAAGGAAATTTAAATGCGTACACACACTGGAAAATGTCGTTTTGTCGGATACATAACTAGACATTGTTGGATTGGTCGCTTAAGTATTGTTCCACACTAGTACATATGCATTAAATGTGTATGCTTCAACTATTTTTACCGTCGATAATAACTATTTAACGGTTCTTTTACCTCCACAATCACATTATCCTCATTAATTATTTATTTGATTTTAAAAGAATATTTTCATTCTAATTTGCAATGCAAATGAGACTTCTTTTTTAAGTGATTTAATAACGTGGCATCCAAATTGAACCTACTAGATAAATAGAGTAAATTATAAATTAGTTCCTTTAGTTTCAAGAAACAAATTAATTACTCTTTTTTTGTTTAAAAAATTATTAATTAATTAGTTGTTTAATTAGTGATAATCATAGTTAATTTAATATTATTTTTATTTCACAAAATGTCTTTTTTTCTCTCATTAATTTTTTCATATATATTTTTTTATTTTTCTATTAATTATAACACAAAAAAAAAATCAAAATAAATTGAAAAAGAGCGAAAAGAATTAATTTACAAGTAGATTTAAAAAATAAAGACTATGAAGTTATTGTTAATACGTTAAATTTTTATTCTATCTTTCTAGTAAGATTTTTAGGATAAAATATCTAAATTAGTCAAATGATTTGCATATAAAAAATAATCACATGGCTAATTTTGATGATCATTTGAGTTGAAAATTTTACTAAAATAATGGATTAAAAACTTAACATTTATTAAAAGATAAAATTAATTTATTAAAAAGATAAATACATATTAAAAGAATTATTTTATTATATATATAAAAAAAATTAACCATTGACTTTAACAATGATGGTTAGAAAATTTCCATAGAAATGTAAATGCGTACACATACTTAGAAAATGTCATTTTGTCGGATGCATAACTTGACCATGTTGGATGGGTCGCTTAAATATTTTTCCACTCTAGTACACATGGATTAAATGTGTATACATCAGCTATGTTTCCTGCTGATTATGACTCTTTGATGTTTCTTTTACCTACAAATTCACATCATCTTCATTTTTTTTTCCAAATTTTTCTTTAATAATATGTTATTTATATCGGTTTAATGTATTTAGAGAAATTTAATTTTTTAAAATATTATTTCTAATTAAAGTTTGAATATAAAAATTTAAGGAAGAAAGCAAATAAATTAACACTTGTATTTGCAACTAAATTAGCACAAGTTGTATGAAAAAACTGAATTTAATGTTATAGTAAAAATTAAAATTTATTTTATTCAATATGGTTGGTGTGAATAAAATTGACAAAACATAAATAGAAGTTTAACACTACTTTTTTTATTATCACAATTGACTTTGCTTAAAAGCATATATCTATCTTTAGCAAAATAGTCCAAACACATTTTTAATTTTAAATGATTTGAGAATCAATTTCTTAATTTTTAATTTTGAATTGAATGTTTCTTCAGCTATTTTCATTTGAAATTAGATTATTTTTAGGTTTCATCAATTCTAAAGTGCAAGTACACTTTGTGACAAATAAAAACATAACAAAACTTGTGGATGTTTTGTTTTTCTTTCTAAAACTTATTTTCCTTTTTTTTAATTATTAATTTTTGAACGTTTAGAAGAAAAGAAGCAAGTTGTAGAAGGAAATACAAAAGCCCTTCTTCTATAAGTTTTGACATATTTTTAGTTGCTGAAAAATTATACCTTTTTATCGTTAGAATTGATAGAAACTTAATAGAATAACCTAATTTCAAATGAAAAATAGTCGAATGAAGGTTCAATTCAAAATTAGAAGTTGAGGTAGTAATTTAATTCAAGTTTAGACTATTTACCCAAAGGCAAATCATCCATGACTTTTGACATATTTTTATCAGCTAAGGAAGCTAAAATCAAGAACCTGCAAATCAGGTGCACTATGCCCACTCTTTAAATTGATCGAAATCTAACAAAATGATCTAATATCAAATAAAAATAATTTGAGGAAGGTCTAATATAAAATTAGTAGTCGAAGTACTGGTTTTTAAATTATTTAAAATTTAGAAAATGCTTTTACTGTTTAGCCTTATTTTTTATTTTTTGTACTATTCTTGTTGTTTGGTAAAATGCTGATTTTTAAATTATTTAAAACTTGGAAAATTAGAACTAGAGCATGATTTCTCATGGTGCTCAAGGTGTGAAAGTTTGGATGTAGAATCTAACAAATATTGGTTTAACCAAAAAAACCAAATTTAAATAATTCGTCACTTTTTTTTTTTTTTTTAATTCATTAGGAAGAATTCAATTTTTCTCAAAATATATATGACATATTGTAACATTTTATGGGGGCAATAGAGAGATTTATTACAGAGGCACATTTAGTGATTTTTCCAATTATTTTGCAATTTACAATCATCAATTCACACGTACCTGGATAGCATCAATACAGGTGAAGGCATTGTAATTTACACCGGAGTGTTTTAGTGGCGAAAGTTAAACTTTTTAGGAATATTTTGAAAAAATTAGACACATATATTGATAATATTAAATTTCATGTGAAAAAAATAGTTTGAATAATTAAAATTTATTTTTACTTGATTTTTATTTTCTATCTCTTATTTTATGTTCTACATTTTCTCTTTAATGCTTTCATTTTTAATTTTCCAAGGATTTTTATTTTTATTTTTATTCTCATTCTCTTGTTAATATATATTTCATAATTGTATAGTAATACAATTTTTGTGCATAATTTCATTATCTGAAAAATAAAAATAAGAAAAAAAACTAGAAAATGTTAAAAAAAAAAAAAAAAGGAAGAAAAATAACCAAACTAACAGACACCTATTTATTCCAAAAAAAAAATAAAATCGTATTTGTTCTTATTTTCTAGTAAAGCCAAACTAACAAATATAACATTGTATTACCCCCAATAAACCATGAATCATAATCTGAATTCTTTTGCCATCTTGCAGTAATATATCTATAGCTCATGCCATGTATCCATCCATATTCTGAATCACTTTATGCACTAAATTCATACCACAGCCAGAGGTCAAAATTTCATCTTCTAGTTAATAGTTACGCTTATGCAATGTTCCTCTTCTCAGGGTTTCCCTCAGCAGCTTCCTTCCTTAATGCTTGAAGCCTTTCCTTCAGCTTTTTGCTCTGTTCAAAATTTGCCTTACGCTTCACTGCTTTCTGAGAAAAAGCTTAAAGATTTTACTGCCAGATCAAGATGGTATTTTTACCCAGAAAAAAAAAAAAAAAAAAAGAAGGCAAATGTAATGCTAACTCACTTCCTCCCGAAAACAACGATCAAGTTTTATTTTGAGTTCTGTGCATTCACCAAAGAACTTAGCAATAGGATGGTCCAAATGACACTTTTGAAACTGCTCAATAATCTGCAAAATATTTTTGTCGCCTGGTTCAGAAAAAAGTTAAGATCACAAGTTCATTCTAGAAAATAGCACGCCATAGATACACTGGCTTCTCTTCCCAAACACCTGCATTGAAAAGTTCAGAAATGGTCGCTTTCTTTTTAACATATTACCCTCCCTTTTTTCCCTAGCCAGAGATACCAACTAGTTTAAAGTTGGGTGTACAAGTCCACATTAGCATTCTGTTCCATTCTTATGATGGCTTTCCATCTACCACAAGCAAGTTGCAAATAGATGCACCAGAAGATGATGCATTTTAATATGGAGAGACACAACCATTTCCCAAATGACCTCCATGAAGAGGTCGGGAACCACTCCACCACACACCAACAAGCACACAGGAAAAAAAAAATCAACCTATATATCAAAGAATAGTAGCAAGAAAGAAATAAGGAATTCCCATTCACATCAACTCAAAACAGTTCAGGAGATAAATCATAACATAAGAAAGGAAGCAAACTCACTTCAGCACACATTGGGTGCCTATGTAACGTCAAAGGAGGATGCATTTTCCTGCAAACAATTTAAGCACTGTCACCTGCAAAACACATAACTATTTTTTAAGCCTTGCATAGACATGCTAATTGAAGAAAGAAAAAGTAAAATAGAGACATTTATGTTGATGAACAGATTAAGACATCTCCTGAAATTCATAAAATCCTTGACATAGTCGAAAATTCCACTCAGTCTGCAAATTTCTTTCCTTCATCAGATGAAACTACAAATCCTAATCCACATGACATGCTTCAATATGACTAATAGGCTAGGATCTTTTATGTACTTAAAGAGTCGATTTTTTAAATGATTGATTTCAGGAAAACAGGAAAAACCCATCAAAAGAAATCTTTAAACAATGGACTCCATATCCAGCAAGACCAACCCCATCACCAGAAAAGAAAAAAAAATCAACAAAAGATAATCTTACAGTTAAAAGACAGAGAAAGTTCGTCAAGAAAAGAAAGGTAATTCATAATCTAAAGATCTAAAATATGGGGAAAATGCGAAAGAAAACCCAGATCAAGAGGAAACCATAATAGATTCACAGTCTCCAATTTTGATTGTTCGGTAAGAAACGCACCGTTTTTAGATGGGCTGCAGCTACAAGGCTTATATCTTCTTCTTCCTCCTCTGGTCGGAAACCTGAGCGAGAGCAGCAGCAAAATGCAACTTCAGAGGGAGACAGAGGAACAGTTGTTATTTCTATTCGCTAAAAAACCACGAGCCTTCGATGCTTGCTGTTTATTTATTATTATTTTTTTTTTGGACGACAGGTAGTCTGACTTTTGTTTTATTTATTCTTATAGAAAAATATAATTTTATTAATAATGAAAATAGTATATATCCATCACAATTTTTACAATATTCAAATAAAGATAAAAATATGATAATCGATTCTAATCAAATGAAAAAAAAAATTTGTAAATATTTAATCCCTATGTGTTTTAAATACGTTTGTAATTTAGTACATCTAGAAATTCTATGTTCTTTGTAATTTATTTTTCTCATCTATTTTTTTTTTCCAAGTTGAATAAAGAAGAGAGAAGTGCTAAGGTGAGAAAATTTAATTAAAAAAAAAAATTCAAGTCCAAATTAAAATAAAATAAAAATTCAAAAGTATAAGAATGGGCCTAGAGTCCATACCCAGTTATCCACATATATTGTTAATTTAAAATAAGAAGATTAGGCCTAAGGCCTGATATAAAATGTAAAGCTAAATCTACAAGAAGATGAAATCTGGGAATAAGACTATCCTCAAGTTGTTTGTACCCAATTCTATCTACCATTGAAATAAGACTATCCTTGTAAACTAATATTGCATCACAAGCATCTGATTCTTGAAATACACAATTTAGTTCTTGGGTATTCAAATCACATAAAAATAATTGGCCAGTGCTAGATTCTTTAAAAAAGCATCATTCTTCCAATACGTAACTGGACATTGAATTCGTAAAAAAGGTCCAACAGTGATTGTTTTGGTCCAGCAATCCCCATCCAATGTCCACACATCAAGAAGCTTCTCAATATCATGGAGAGTAAACAAAGCAATCAAGTCATGGTATAATGAAAGTGTTTCAAAAGCTGGCTTATCGTAATCCGGCACTTGTACCTCTTAGAACTTATCTATGGTCATGTCGAAGGAAAGAATCATATTATTTTCATGAGAGGGCGCACAACATACCCACCAATAAAAAACTCCATTCAAGTATGTGTTATCTGTTAGAGCATAGTCTTTCTCTAGATCCTCCCAATATCTCCAACAATCAGTGCCTAATGTGTACACAATGACCGGAAAAGGACGATACCGATTCATACCTGTTTCAATCCTATGTTCTTGAAGTACCACCACTTTGAAATCGTTAGTTGCTAGATCCAATCCAAATCCATAATTATTAGTATAGTCATAGGTTGAAAGATGTGGCAAAGTTATTTTCTTTGGCAGAATCTTCAATTCTTTAGTTGCAGGATGGCATAGAGCAGAATCACTAAAATCACTACAATCTAGATAAAATATTCCATTATAGGTGTCACAGTCCTAGGCGCGAGGTGGCGCCAAGGATAACATTGCTGGGATCTTGGCAACTTGCATGGGCAGGGGCAGCTTGCATGGGCCTTGGCAGATTCGGCAGCGATGTATAACGGGTGCGTGCGAACAACGGGTTCATGTTCGGCACGACTTCAGACTTGGATAAAGGGCTGTCCAAGTTGCATGGGAACACAACAGGCTGAGAGAGAGGGCTTAGTCGAGTGCCTAAAGGGTCCGTGGGGTGACGAGGCCAAAGGAAGTTCTAGAAGGGGCGGTTATCAAGAGACAGGTTATCGGCAGTTACTTGTCTTTGGCCAATCTGTCCAGATCATATGGATAAGTTAGATAGCAGTTCCTATGTAACTTCCAATGATCTTTGTGATAAAAAGGAGAGGGGGTGTGCTTTACACGAGACCACGAAATAAAAGTGTATTCCTTTGTTAACGGGTTAATAAAAAGTTGGGAGTTTTCCTGTAATATTGTGTGCAAACTTTGAGTTACTCTTGTTTATTGTAGTGTGTTGCCTATTATTTGTAGGACTTCGGGGAAAGCCTCTTGGGTGTATGAAACACCATAGTCAGTAGGTCAAACACGAAAGCAAATTGGGAGGAAAAAGGCTGAAGTCTAGGGGAGACTAGGCTGCCGCACTAGGTTGAAATTGTGACAAAAATTTGACCTCAGTAACAATAGGGACCACAAATACTTGATACGAGAATCGGTAAATCAAGTGCTTGATGTGATAAATCTGCAAGTGTTTCGTCTAGAAACAACTCAACCAAATCACGATAGTCCGGGCATGTGTAGTATTTGAGAAGAAGAAGACCCTTATTACTCTTGTTGTAGTAGTTGTTTAGATGCTTTGCAACGAAACTAGAATTTGTAATAACGAGTGTACCATGACTTTGAGTCGTAGTAGAGTTTTCACGAGCAGCCATGATAGAATTTCAATCGTCATGTCTTTCGAAAGAAGATATCCATTCTCAATCATCATTGCTATCGATCCTTTTGAATCCTTTTCAAATCTACAAGAAAATTTTTAGTCAAATGAATTCGGGAACAAGTAGAGATTTCCAATGCTCTATCAATCAAATAGAATTGGTAGTATCAAATACAAATAACACAATTTTTTCCACCCCACAAATTATAAAAAACTTTCGAGTACAAATAGCCAACAATTTAAATAACAACAAAAAAAAAACTAATAAAGGATTAGAATTAAATGATTACCAGATACCACCAACTACAAATTTTCAAGCTTCTTTAAGCACATATCATTTATGTGTGAGCATATGAGTTACATAATGTATGGTTTGTTCTATGAACTAAAATGATACGATTTATAGGAAGAGATTGACGTGTACCCTTAAGAATACCATTACCTACTTACCAAGAAAGCTAACCATTACCAGATACCATGCACAATCTATAGATTTTCATCACGTCACTGACTATAATTATATTCCTATTGACTTTGACAGTAATCAAAATTGCAAAATCTTATACATACATACATACATACATACATACATATATATATATATATATATCACAAAATCGTATATTATGGGCAACACACACATATATATAGAACGCACATGATAGCTTTAATGACCATTTAGTGGTAGTCTGAAATCATGATATTAAAGATATTTTAAGATTTGACAATAGTTTGAGATCAAGGATGCTTTAAAAAACAATCTTTGAAAAACAATTCATAGCCAGAAAAAAAAAAAAAAATCCCAACCACAAAAATGGAAGTACAACCAAACCAAAATCCATATATTTAATTTTGTTTCCTTCACTTTCTTCAAAGAAATCCGAAAATTGTTATTGTAGTAAGTGAGGTATTGAAAATCTGCAGCCACAAAATTTATAGATTTTATGAAATTTTGATTACTTCTAAATCCAATAGAAATCTAATCATCGTAGTAGGTGAAGTATTGAAAATCTATGAATTGTGATATTTGGTTCTGTTTTTAAGTAAGAAAATAATGAAAATCTATTAAATGTGAAAGTAAATTCTTACCATAAATCACACACGATTTCATTTCAAGGAACAAAACAAATACAAATATGTCGCAAACCATTTTTGACCCTTAAATTTTCCCAAAAATACAAAAAAAATCATTTATAAAAAAACCTCATAAAAACTCAAAAATTGCATGTTGTATATTTTCATGATTTTTGCATGATTTTTAGATATTTTGATAAATTTACGTAGTTTAAAATACACTAGTTTATCCTTAATTTTTATAGCAGTTGAAAAGAAAAGGAAGAAAAAAAAAACAATTGTAAAAGTCAAAAGAAAAAGACCGGAAGAAAAAAAGGCTAGAAGAAAAAGTACCAAAAAAAGGGGGAGTTTGAATTTTTTTAAAAAAAATAAGTACAAAAACAAGCTAAAAATAATAATAACTGAGGAGGGAAAAACAACAACAACAAAAAAAAAAAAAGCATGAAGAAAATCATTTGAAAATGAAAAGAAAAATTAGAAAGGAAAATAATAATACTCTTGACTGTCGAAACAAAAGTTTATTAAATTTTCTGTAGGCTTATATGGTGACAGATGCATAGATTTTATGTGACTCGTTTTTATTGATAAATTTTTTTTTTTTACATCTTCCTCATTTTTATTGTATTGTCAATTCAAATTGTATTATATTCTAAAAAAATAAAAATCATAATATATGCTTTTCCAAAGAGAAAAACTGATTGCAAAGAAAATTGTATTTTTCTCATTTTTATTATATTTTCAATTCAAATCATACTATATTCTAAAAGAATATACATTTTCTTTGTCATCATTTTATTCATTTTCTTTTATTTTATTTTTTAATTTCTACTGTATTTTCAACGCTTTTTCATTAAATATTTTATTGGATTGGCATTTGTTAAAACATAATAGATTTAATGTTAATGTTTTTCTCACCTAATACAAGGATGTGACAAAAGACAAAAAGCATCTGGAAGATTTTAAACATTTTTTTT